GACAGCTCAACATGGCGCGTGTTTGCCCCCACAATTGCTATGCGTGGCTCTCCGATGTAGTCTATTTTTATATATATCTATATATATATATAGATCTGTACATGCATACTTATGCAGCCATATGTTATATACATACACATGCACATATATACTAAGCGCTGCATATTTTAGGCTGCACTTTCGCACTCCTTATACTTGCAAGCGAAAGAGGTCACACGCTTCAGGGCAGATTGCGCTTTTACTCAAATATTTGCGCCTGAAATACTATATTGAATGAAAAACTCTATGCATGGGTGTATGCGTGTGTTTATGTGCGTATTTTAAGTGCAAACACTAATTTGTGTTAGAGTGTTTCGCATGCATCGGATATTTGTCGATGAATGAGGTAGGAAACTAATGAGTTTTGGTTGTTTTTAACGTCATTTAAATTAGGCAAAGTCACAGATAAGCATCTAAGCAAACACTTGCATAAAGATAGAAATATAATAATAATAAATAATAGTTAAATATTTTAATAGCATTTATGTGCGCTGTTGGAGTGGTTAATATTTCTTTAAACTATTAATTAAATGTGCATGTGCACACTATTCACTATTCACTACTTTAAATACAGCGTAGTTTAAGTCTTACGTTTAGCTCTAGGTGCACCTTGACGTATGAGTATTTTATTAATAAATTGTTATTATTGAATTCGGCACCAATTGACACACCAAGAGGAGCTACATGCTTCTCCATCTGATCTGAAATAGTGTGAAGTATCTAGAGGGCAGGCTGTTGACTGCGCGGCTTCTTATCCTTAACTGGAAGCATCATTGAACATACAGTATATGCCGTTATTAGTGCGCAAAGGTCTTTAAAACTAACTTAACACTTTTGTATCTCATACTCCTAGAGCTGTCGTCAACGTCATGCTTCTGTCGGGAATGATGTGCTTCTCGTAGAATTAAGGTTTTGTTCATAGAGAGAGGACTTTTACTTTTCGATTGACCACTCCAAAATAACATATATTGAAGAGAATGGTTCTGCAGCTAAACTTTCACAAGTTGATATTATTACTAGTACTAATGGGTTCCAAGATAGACCACCCCGTCCACAACTTCAAAAATATGAGCTACAATAGTGATTTGTTTTCTCAAACGATAGTGCGCTGAGGGCTCGGTTGATGACGGTAGATAGCGTATTTTGTCCTCGTTCACTGCCATAAGCAATCGTTTCATTTCATTATCCTGACTGAAGGTTGTAGACTAAAGAGGTAAATATCATCGCTATAGGTCAGCAGTTGTGTGCCATTTTATAAAATTGCACCTTCAATATTTAACTCTGCAGCTTGATCAACTCCCTAATCACTAGCTTAAAAAATACACACACTTTTTGATATTGCTTGGTCGTATTGCTTTACACGGTTGTATTCGTTTTGTGGTGACCAGAAATTCATTTATATAGGCATAGACGCAGTTTATTTTTGCTGCTTGATGGTGTGAATCGTTTTCTTTTCTCAGAGTTTTTTTTAGCAAAATTTTGTGTATCGAAAATATATGATTGTGGTTGATCTTGTTCGATCCGTCTACAATATCATTATCGATTGGCTGTTGTTTAACTGTCGGTCAGCTTTTTAAGCTCGTCATGCTCACACATATCCGACTTCCGCTTTTTCTAAAAATGCATCAAACTTACCTTGTTGGTTCTCGGTATCTCTCTCTGAAAAATTAAATAATTGACGTAAAAAGGAAAATGTGAAATTTCTCTGCTGGCTTCAGGTATTACAATATGAGTTTTCTATGTATTTTGCTAGTTAATGAATAAGATAAATAATGGTTATTTAATTAAATAATGCAGTAAGTAATTTGCCTTAAAATCTAAGGCTTTAGCTCGTATTGCAGATGTATCCTTTGAGGACTTTGGAAAATCAGTTGTATGTAGAAATTCAATATTTTGGACTAAATAGTCTTTTAAGATGCTATTTTTATTTTTAATTTTAATTTATTTGATTTTTCTTATTGTTCCATTGTTAATGTTTTTTTTTTTGAATTGTGTATAATAAAATATATTTCCATAAAGCACAATATTATTTTCAATACTAATCTCTTAATTATATTTTGTGAATTTCATATCTGCTTTATTGGTAAAATTTTCATTGTGTTTTTAATTCTTGTTGTTTTTATTGAATTTTTTATCGACAACATTTCCCAGAAGTAAGAAAGTGCATATGTATGTATGTCTATACCCTAAAACTGTAGCTTTCAGCATTGATTTTCAACCTGGTTCAATATATTTCAAAAATAAAAAAAAAATATGTAAATAAATAGATAACTAGAAAATAAATAAATGCACAAAAAACATTTTATTGCGTAAATAACGAGAAAGGTATCTTGCGCAACCAATAATTTTAAGCATAATTTCTTCCCAATCACCCTAAAAGTTACCGCTACATATACAAATTTGCGTTATGTCAGTTTGTTAGCTGCAGGTATTATAACTTTCTAGTAAAAACAATGCGCAAGCAATTTTTCGTAAACAAAAATATAATACATTTTCCAGTGTAGGCATATACAAGCATATTTGCGTATTTAATAATAAATATAAACTAAAATATTTCTACGGAAATTTCAAGCAAAAATTTAATTAAATTTCCTGCTTAGTAAAATGTGTTTTTTTTCCAACAGAAAAAAAGTAGTTAATTAGTGCAAATAGCTGAAAATCAAAGAATATATTTTCAATTAAATAATATAATAAACACACAAAATTTTACGTAGCCACAACTCACCAATAAACTCACACATATACACATATTCCTGTTCTCAAATATGTAATTGGTAAACAATTGTAATGCTTAATATGAACACCGAAACACAGAAACTCACACATTTATTGGCATTTACAGTGAATTATTTTCCACATCCATTATATTTAAATACAAAGGCCGTTGAATTTATATAAATAAATTTTTGTGGAGGGGCAACACTAGATGAACGTTGGAAACTTAATATAATATAAAAGCATTTTTGCGTGTATTACGCATATGTACAAATAATATAAATCAAACAAATTCATATAGCAAAAAAAATTTAAGAACATACCTGATAAATACATACATATTTATACACTGCGTACGTATCATCCACAATAAATTAGAGGGGGAAAAATCCATACTCAAAATTAAACAACACGCGCTCATATATACACATATTTACATATGCTTGTATGCGTAAGGCATACACGTATTTACCCAAATAACTTCCTACCTCACCATAATCACCAATCAGCCCTGCATATTTTTCCACTTTATATTATATATCCAACATTTACTGCTGTGGAGCTCTTAACCTTTCACGCTTACTTTTTTGCGCGTAATTCCTCACAATCAAAAAAAAAAAATTTTTTTAATTTTATTTGAGTTCTCTCATATTTTAATGCGGCATTTAAATTTTTTTCTTGTGACAATAAGCGAAAAAAGTGTCACACGCAAGTGCCACAGTGCGCCGTCAGTTAAGCGTAGCGAGTTTTTCCCCAATTTTCCCACGTTTTGTGTTCAGAAATTTTTTTGTTATGTGTATTTATTTTACAATATAATGCTTCGAACACATTTATTTGTTGTTATATTTTTTCATCCTACACCAATGCTCCAGCTCCCCAATCCTCACCTACATACATTCCACGTGCTCAATGACGTTTTATATGGCAATTTCGTTTTTGTATGCCATTTTTTCAATTATTATTTTTACAAATAAAAAATAAAATAATTAACTGTTTTTTCCACATTTCTTAAAACACAGTTTTTTGTGTGAACAATTTATGTTACATTATTTTTAGCACAAAAACATATTTAGAAACGTTTTTAATTTTTTTTTGTTTTCTCACACTTTATTTTAGCACTTTTTTAAAGAATTTATTTTTTGCACACCAAAAGGCGCCATTTTTGCATTTTCTTATGCCGCATGTGCAATAGTTAATACGAAACTGTATTTTTGTAAAAACAGTTAATCAATAATATAAATTTAAAACGCTTTATTTTGTTAAGATTTAAATTTATTGTTTAAAAATTTCTAAATAGCATGTAATTACGTAACGCCTTATAACTAAATTTTTATAGTAAACGTGCAAATATTATAGAAAAATGTTGAGTGTCTCAAAATTATATAATGTTCCAAAAAAGGGAAAAAATGGTAACAGGAATTGATGGTTTTGATAATAAATTATAATTGCTTGCTTTAAATGTCTACTGGAATCGCTTCCCATAAAAATTTGTATTAAATCAAAAAATGTAACAGTCTAAATTTCATAAATAAAAGATTTGTTCGACAAAGAAAAGAAATAAAAATATTTAAATAAAAATTTGCATTTTTCAATTTAAATGAAGATTTAAAATTCATAATATATATTTAGTTTCATCGAAATATAAATTTATGAGAATTTTAATAACTACCATTCACTCATCAATATTGAATCCTACAAACCGAAAACCTTATTTTTTCATGAGTAGGCAAAAATCTTGTCAAATGCAAAGCGCATTCGATTTTGTTTAAATTACCGACAGAATTATTGATAGAAATATTTTTGTTTTTATGGCTTACCAACTAGTTTGATTTCCATAAAAATTGTGCAGAAAAGTTATAAAACCAAAATTAATTCGTAAAATTCAACCAAATATTTGCACGTTTGAATATATGTATGTATATAACTAACAACAAATCCCACAAGTCAATCAATATTTGGAAATATGACAAGCAAGCAAAAAAAAGCAGAATTTTGAATTTTGACAAACACACACTATTTGTTTTATTTAATATTGTATATGCTTACCATAAAACATAAGTAATACATTTTGTTTTTATTTCCACCACGTGCCTTGTCATATTTCAATTGATTGCTCTATGTATTGTTGTGTTGTTTTTAAATACAATCGATTTTGATATTTTTGCCCATTTTTTACTACCACTATTCCGAAATACTAATACCAATTTTCTCTTTTAACCATATTGATTCGTCGTATGCGTCATTAGTTCGGGCATTGAAGGAAATCCGACTGTATTCTACCGTCTTATGCCTGGGTCAACAGCGCAGACCAATAAATTTCACACGTTTTACTTGCAACAAAGGCCGGATAATGGTGATACATGGGCTGATATAAAGGTGAATCATCCGTTGGATTATGAAAGCATAAAGGAGTATAATCTAACGATACGCGTGGAGGTGAGTTATTTAAATTTAAATAATATTTTATCTCATCAAATTAAGCACTGGATTGCTCTATGGTTTACATCCATTTACCATTTTTTTAATAATATATGGAATAATAATAATAATGAACACTTTTATCAACCTAAAAAATGCAATCTGGGGTTCTAGATCTGGGTTATTAGGTGAACTCGGCTTCTGTTCATTTTTGACGAGTTGTGAAATAGTACGTGATCTGATATTTTTGATAGTTGACTACAATTGACATACAAATTCATAATCAATAGCGGTGGTTCTCAACTGCACAGTTGTAAGTGCGACAATATAATCATATTCATGGTCGATGTTACAACCTCGGAGCGCATACCTGAAAATGGTTGCTTTGATTACGGACTCCGAAGTCGTTTGTAAAGTTTTTTATTTATCTGATGCCGGTACCTAATATTCCCGATAACAATACTTCGGGGGGAGGATTGCTCATAAGTAAGCTACCGGCACTCAAAGAAGTGACCTTTACTCACTTTGTATGCCAAGAGGTGGGCGAAAATCTTGAGAACTTTCGGAAAATATCCCAGAAGGTGGCTAGATATTCTTCATATATCGGCAACATACACTCTCACTTATCACAAATGCAACTTTAAATTAGCGTTGAATAAAAACGATACATTCTTGTCAAATTCTAAACACTTTTATTTAGCATGTCGCTTGATTGATGTCACACCTGAGCTAAGCACATGCTCTTATAAAACTTTAATAAAATCTCCATCCGAGTATTTCAGGGCAAGGGATGCTATATGTGTTTTTCATTAATTTATTTAAAAAAAAATTTAGAAAATTTAATTTCACTTAATTTTATTTTATTTTGTATTTTTCTTTTACATATTGTTTTATTTCATTTTATTTTTAATCATTACAATATATTTAATTTTATTTATTTTATTTTATTTTATTTTATTTTTGTTAAGGGTTGAGTTCAAGTTCAATACGTTTCGATTAGTGCAAAAAAAATTAATTTATTCCACATTTTGCCCAACTTTTCCCTCAATATTTTAGCATCTTCAGAGGCTCCTGTTTATTTAAATTAAGTAAAAGAGGCACGTTGTGCAAAATTTTCTTTTATTTTAACTATTTTATTTTGTTTCATTTTAATATGATTTATTTTTTTATTCAATTATTTTAATTTATTTTATTTAGTTTTGTGTAATTTTATTTTATTTTAGTTTATTTTAAAATTTAGTGAATCTCATTTTATTTTATTTAAGTTTATTTTATATCTTAATTTTTTTTATTTTAAATTGTTTTATATAATATTATATAATATTACTTTATTTGTTTTTTTATTATCTTATTTTATTTTAGGTTTATGTATTTATTTTTTGTTTTCAAATTCCAATCTTATCAATTTTTAAAATATTTGCTCATAGAAATTGGATCTTTAATTCCTCTCTTGTCTCTTTTGCCGTTTATTTTTCCCCTACTGAAGAAAGACTTGATAACTAGTTTAAGTAAATGATATACTCAAGATATTGTTTTGACAAATTAATGATATTTATTATTTTTGCAATATATTCGTTAAATAAATATTGTCAATAAATTTAAACTTTATTTCATACAAAAGAAAAGTACAGCAAATGGGAGTTTTTGTGCGAAATAAATTTCTTATGAAAGACGTTTCCCTCAAACTTTCATGAACATGCAAACTTTATTTGATTTTATTGATATATTTCAACGTTCATGACATATATGTATTTACTTACAAATTTATTTAGTTTTATGCACGAATTGTTTGCATAAGCAATACGCAAAGCAATGCAAAAAACATAGACAAAAAAGTATGCAAATGATTTAAGGTATTTATTAAAAATGTCAACTGTATGATCTATTATTTTCTTTCATTTGCATATGAAAGTAAATTTATTAGTCTGTTTGCTTTATATCGGTATACCGTAAACAATAAAAGTATGTTCGACAGATGTATTGCAATTAGCTAAAGAAAATATTTACTTTTCTCATCAATGCGTATATGCGTAGATATGCATGTATGTACATAGTGTTTTTACTTACGTATATGTACAAATGTCTGCAGATTTATTAGTGACAGTTGAAGTGGCATCATCAGCTCGTATAACATATGTAGATACTATTAAATATTTAAGCTGCAGTTCATATTTAGAATGTTGTCAAAGAAAAATATTAATAAATACAAAATTGCTAAATGTGCTCACAAAATGAATGCACTTTTGAAATAAGCAATCACTCACTTAACTACATTTTCAATATTTAGCTAATTGTCCAAGAGACCAAGTGTCTAGCTACATATGTAAATGTTCATACGAAATATGTATATATATATATATTGTTATATGTACAAGTATGTGTGTTGAAAGTTGTTGAGCATAAAGATGCCACAGAAATCTATGGTAAATATATTTGTATCGCAGATATTTACCACATTTATTTCTGCTTTTACTAGTATTCTATGTCATTGAATGACCAATGCGCACTCCATTCACATGAATATATTATTTTATGATGTAAAATTACATATATATAGTATAACTGTTTAATTCAGAACTCTTTTGACATGAAATAAATATTTATATTTAATAATAATTGCAAAACATAAATGTAAACTATCAAATGTAGGTAAATGAATGAACATCAGGGTGCCACTTATTTCTCGAGATCACCAATATTTACAATCCACGAGCAGAAAAGTGGAAATTCTAAAAATTTTTGATTGAAAACACTGTATTAAGATCAGTTAATATCTTATTAAAAATACTCTAAATTCTTTGAAAGAATTTTATGAGCCCGTTATATATAACTCATAATGAGGTTTTAATTTATTTTACTCTTGATTAGAAGTTGGAACTCGATTTGGGAGATAATAAAAAAATATGTCAACAATAATATCTTGTTGCAAATCTAAACATAATTGTCTGTTTTCAACGAAAAACAAACGCCGAATAAGGCACAGATAATATTCTTTATTTACTCTCTGACCGTGCGGCTGGAATTCCGAGTACACGACTCTGCGATAAACAAAGAATCCAGTCCTCTTTGTTTTGTTCAACTTTAACTTGTTGTTTTTTGTTTGGTTTTGGACAAACCTAGTTATTTATATATTTATGCAAAAAAGCAACATCATATATCATATATTCTTACTACCTGAGTCCAAAACGTTGGTACACCTCAATATTCATGCCTCAAATGTCCTTTTAATAGCTTGCCATGTATGTACATAATTTATATGTAACAAACATACGAATATATATACATACGAGTACAAAGCATACGTATATATTTTATTTATATATTCCAATATTTAAAAGATATTGTTTCTGTACGTGTGTGTTAATATAAAATATTTGTAGAAAAGCATTAAATTTGCACTTGAAATGTTTAAGCAATCACTTAAACAATAGTTTGCAGTGTTAAAAGGACTGATTGCTTAATAAACATGTAGGCATAAATACATTAAGAGCTTTGATTCCTACTAAGCAGCCTCAAATTTTATGTGTTCTCAGAAGTTTGTCAAACGAGCCTTCATGAAGTGTTTGTGTTATTTGCATATACATAAAATAAAATAATTTTCATTAAAAAAAGAAATAAATTTCCAAATTAATGAACTTTTCTCTTAAAAGACTTAAAATTATTTTTATTTTGGTATACGCCTCTTTTTGAACTAAATCACTTTGCCTATAATTAGTTGGAATTACCAATTTTCGGTCATATACAAATAAGTCTCAATACATTAGTTTAAGCTTGTTTTATTATGGTTAGAATTATTCGATTTATGCCACATATTATATATATTATATATTTATGACTATCTCATAGGCAGCCTTGTTCCTTACTGCAAATAGTGGGCACACTAGATTTTCATAGGTTTCAAATTTTAACTAGGCAAATCATTTGGCAGAGAAAGCAACAGATAATATTATCTTGTTGTGATTTTCGGACTATAGAGAGGATATATCTATTGTCTATCCGCTTTAGAAATGGGTTTCTAAGATCGTTCATCATCAAAGTGGATAATTCCATTTTCATTTGGCTTTGTTTTAAGTGATCCCAATTTTTCATCACCAGTCCGCTTTAAAAACTGGTCTTCGAATCAGCAGCACATCGCTCATGGCGAATGAGGTTTTCGCACGTTAACTCATGTGGCACCAACACATCCAGCTTCTTTGTGTAAACAGCCTTTATCATTTGTCCAATGCTTAGCTCTTACAGAATCGAAATACTGCTTGCATGAGGGTCTTACTCTCATTATTTTATAGAAACTTTTTACAACGTGGAGCATCTTTTACACCAAAAATACTTTAAGAAAATAGGTGAAATCAAAATTGTGCATGATGTACTGTTGCAGCGGCAGGATCACAAAGATTATACATACTTTTAGCTCCTTGTCTTGCATTTTCCGAAATTGTAGAGTATAGAGTATTTTCTCTTTATTGGTGTCCATCTTTAAAATGCCCTCAATCACTAGTGAGTTAAGTGATCAACTGCTTTCCCATTGGCTTTTTAATTAAAAATATATCATCTTTCTAACACCATCCAACGTTATTCAATCACACTTATAGAACTTAAGTTATAAAGCAAAGTTATCTTTTGGAATAATAACAGATTCCTTTTTACTAGGTTATGTACTGAACTTTTTGAAATTATTAGTTCCATTATGGCTATGGAATCTTTAAGCAATAATATACAAGTTTCACAGAATAATTAATTATGGCTATCAAATGAATAAAAATTAATTCAATTATCTTCAATCAAAATTTATTTCGAAATTAAAATGTAATAAATTGAAGCTCTTTGCAATGCTTTCAGGATCCACTAATTTCTAACATGAAAACACAATTTTTTTTTCTTTTTTAAATATGGATATCAGTCCAGTATTTGTTGAACAAATAATCATTTTAGTCACTTTGGACATTTAAATGAGTAGTTTACGATATTTTTAACACTAGTTTCTGCTGGCTGCTTTGAACCAGTATATCCATGTATATATATGTATAAGCGTATGGGAATAATTCTCATTTTTCATATATTTTGTTATTTTATTTTAAAAGTTTCATTTGATATGCAAATGAATAAATATGGCTATGTGCTTAAACGCAAGCAAGCCAAGTGGAAACTTACATGTATGTATCTATGCACATATCTACCAAATTCCGTGTTGGCTAAGCAAATAAAGAAATTAATTTATACGATTTAAATAACTAAAATAATTAAATATTGAAATATTAAAGCATCTCAGGCGAGGCTATAATGTCAATAACAGTAAATTTAATTGAAACTTTTAATATTAATCAATGAAGCTTATTTGTTTTACTGAAATAGAAATATTTGGAAGCAGACGCAATTTTTATCATTTGACTGAAAATACTTTAATTTAACTATGTTAACGAATATATAGTTTTATAAAAATGTGCTTAATTAAATTTTTTTTATTTGCCATATTTTTTTTTAAACAATTTATTCCTGATATACGTTATCCTTTTTAATCTCTTAATAATTTTCAACAAATAATACGTAGTTTGATTTTCTTTCTTCAAACGTTTTCTTCCATACTATTTGGATTGGTTTTTCATATTAGTAAACGCTGTCAAGTTTCATAAAACGCCTTGAATATTGCCACATCTGCGGTTTATATTTTAATTCAAGCATTTTTAAGCTCTAACGTATGCTTACCAGCCAATCAAAAAAAAACAGATTTCAGCGGTTAACCATTTACTAATATTATTTGTCAATATTGAATGAGAAAACTCTTTGTTATTGAGAAATTTTATGAATGTCAAAAACAGCAGCTCCTTTTTTAGATATACGTAGTATATTAGATATACATATATTTGTATAGATATATATTTATATGTATATATGTATATAACATATATGTATGTACTTTTTGGGGAATGGAGGCTTTTCAGTTTGGATTCTCCACACTTTTCATTGTTTTTGATAAATCACATTCATCAGTAGTACAACCAACAGCCATCAGCAAGAGTGGAGAATGTGTATAAATACCTATATTTGAGTGTGGCTGTTTATTTGAGCAATAAACGTATATTTGTTCGCCGTTGTTCATCAGAATTTACATTTTTAGCGCATTTTACTATACCGTTTGTTAACAAATTTATAGCAGCGAAAATATTCACGCCATCATATGTTGAGGCCACTGTTTTATTGCTGGAGCAATTTACGCGAAGCCGTAGTAGAAAAAAATCTTTTTTTAAGACTTCTATGAAATAGTAGGATATTAAAAACATACTCCAATATTTGAAGCTGTTAATGTTACTAGACGAGATATACATATGTATGTTTCTTTCGGTCTTTTTGTGAGTACGGTAACCAGGAAGTGCATACATATGTATATGTAAGCGTGTATACACGCAAATTGTTTTCTCTTTTTTGCCTTTTTTCAATGACAAACATAAAAATCGTTTAGCGATTTAATTCAATAGATGATACGTTTATCTTAATTAACTAAAAACATTTAATCTATTAACACATAAAAAGTTAAGCGAGAAAAGCCGAACCGTTTACATACTTGAAATTGTATTTTTATTTCATATCAATTGTGTTCATTTAAATTGTTTTTTAAAAAAAAAATTAATCCTTTTTGAATGATGTTTATATTTTAAAAACTTAATAAGAGTTGACAACACTCAATTTGTCCCATCAATTAAGTGTTTAATCTGAAAAGGGGGCAATAACTTAAATATATTGTTAAAATTTAACTTGAATTTTTTGACTATAATTTCATTAAACAAATTATGAATTTATTGCAAAGTAGGTTTAGAGGATAAATTATGCTCAAGTCATCAACCAATAACACGATAAAAATTTCAAACATATCAAATAAAATGAATTGTTTTAAGCTAACTGCGATATTTAGCAAAAATCGAAATAGAATAAAAAAAAATAAAATAAAATAAAAAAAATTAAATAAAATAAAATAAAATAAAATAAAATAAAATAAAATAAAATAAAATAAAATAAAATAAAATAAAATAAAATAAAATAAAATAAAATAAAATAAAATAAAATAAAATAAAATGAAATAAAAAAAAATAAAAAAAATAAAATAAAATAAAAAAAGCGTTAAATCGTATTTAAAAAATATGCAGAGGTTACTTTAGTGCAACATACCAGGGCCCATACATTTGCATAAAGGAAAAATACAATACCAACATAATTATTTTGATATTTAAACGCATACGCGTATTGTTCAAGTTTTAATTAACTTTATAATGACAGGGAGCTACTGAACATAATGAATTATTGTCTCACATCAAATAGCATATTTATCAATTTTGTCACTTTTGCATAATAAAAACATTAGCATTTTGTTTCATGTTTTCACACGTACTGTTTTTTTTTTTTTTTTGCTGTATTTCAGAACAATGGCGCCCAACAATTGGCATCCGAAGCGACCGTCTACATCATGCTCGAGGATGTTAACGACGAGATACCATTATTTACGGAACGTGAACAGGAGACTGTGCTGGAAGGTGAACCCATTGGCACAAAAGTGACGCAAGTGAATGCCATCGACAAGGATGGCACATTTCCAAATAATCAGGTAAGCAGAACGTTAAATGCATAACATGAATGTTTAGAGAAAGAAGAAAAGAAACAAAGAAGCAAAGTACAAATCTATATAAGTAGTATGCAAATGTATGCATGTATATATATACAGACATATATTTGCGATGCAAGGACTGCGTTATGTAGTTTGAGGCTGATGCGCGCTTTTACAAATGCAGTGAAGTGTGAGAGCGGTTGATAAGCAATTGCCAGCCATGCGGTCTCATAGGCAGCTCCTAATATGCAAATTGTCCAACCTTATCACACACACATAGATGTGGTTATAAATGTCTGTTCTAATAAACTCAAAAGTACCTCCGCTTTCTAATTTAATTTTTCTATCTCTCTTTCCGAAAGCCATTCTTATCAAACCCTTTGTAAAATTTTTTAAGTTGGCGTCGCGAACTGGAAAACAAATAACGCTTACAGCGTGTTAAATAGGATTGTCTGCGTGTATAAAAAAACGTTCGGTGAAAAATTAAAAAAAAAAAATTTTTGATTAAGTGGAAGATGATTCCCCCGTCCAGCGCAACTTAATTAGCAGATGACTGTCGAAATCACTTAAATGGAATGAAATTTGCTCAGGCTTACGCCTTTGCACAAACAAATAAGCTAACTCGACAAAAGCGTTGACTTGGAAACAATGGTATAGAAGAATAAGTGAATAAGCAAAAAGCTGCTTGAGTATAGTCTGAGGGCGAGTTACTGAAAAAAATATTATGTGTGAATAGCCTTGACTATTTAATAACAACACGAGTTGAAAAATTAAAAATATAATGAACGAACAAAAGAATTTTATATCCAAACAAGGTCTCCGAATTTCAATGTCTGCTACTTTTCACACACTTTTCCCACTCAAAATTAGCTCTGAATCCACCAATTCGTCCGTATGTACATATTATTACATCGCCAACATCATCTCCATAATCTCACTACCGCTCGTGGCTACTAATCTTGCGCGCATTTTTACACTCATAAATGTCAAAAGGTATTATGCCGAATAGCTGAAAGCCTTCAGAAAATTTCTGACCATCCGTTGGCAAAGGAAGCGCCAGCAAGTGTTGACGTGTGTGCGCCATTCGCACTCTAATCTTTTCCGCTAGTTCCGTTCGCCGTGCTTGTGTCCTCTGCAAATAGCTACTTTGTGGCTTTTTATGCCACACATTAGGCGGAAATGTGGAAATGTGGCTCATTGCGCTTGGGCTGCTCTTTGGTAGCGGCGAAATTAGGTGAACGCGTAACAGCTGCAGTGTGATAATTTTACGCGAATACTATATATTTTTGTTTTAACTAGATGCCCGCAATATTTAAAGCTGAAGAAAGATTTAAAGTTTCACTCAAAAACAAAGGCAAACATTTCAAATAGATTAATAAAATTTTTCGTTGGAAAATGTGTCAGGGTTAGCAGAATTTTTTTTTCAACTGAAGTTGGATGACTTGATGAGGATTACATGATTTAAATACTTTGCTTTAGCTTTCTCTCCAAATGTAGTAAATTCAAATGAAATACTTTACAAGAAAATAACGCGAGGCAAATTGATAATTACTATTTCCTACAGGATAATCTACCACTACAACCACAGAGGAAAGCAAAGTTATTTAACAAAATATGTTTTAAGAATTTTTAAACCTAGAAAGTGTACAGCTGAATTGATTGGGTTCTCACCGATTAAATATTATTTCTATATTAGGTAATAATAAGTCAATTATTGGGTTGGTTTAAGGGTTCAGCTTTACGAATTTGTATGAAGTTTTGCATCTTTTTACACTTGGCGAAGTTTTAGAAAAAGTTAAAAAAATTATTTCAAGTCAATATGAAATTAAATCCTGAAAAATTAAAAAATCCTACCAAATCAAGAGCTATTACCACATACGAGTGTAACAAGCAGTTAAAAAACTGACAAGAGTTCGGCTGGTTTCATATACAGTAGAATTTCATTTATTTGGTTCGACCAACAACTGAAATTTTAGAAAATTATTTTTTCAAATTGCTGTCGCCCCTCGGCAGGTAATGCCAGCTCCTCTAAATGTATTTCTGACATGAAATAAAATAAGTTCGAAAAAATCCAATGACCGTTCCAAAGCGACTTACAGTAAACTTCAGATCCCTTCATTTTTGGAAAAACATCAAGAGGCACAATATAAGTTTCACGAGAATTTCGGACGACAATCGTTTCAGTGGTTCTACATTTTCAACTATATACCTATATTCCTTATAATCGAAAATCGGTCGGTTTTTAAGCCACTGAAACAATATTTAAATTTTTATAATTTTTTTTTAATATGTAATAGGTTTTACAAGGGTCCTTTAGATTATACGATATATATATTAAAACGAGCTTTAACGATGGATAATAAATTACTTAATACCTATGTACATGAAATAAAATTTTTGTTGGAAATAAGTTATTTGAAATAATGAATCTCAACTTTTAATTGCGGCAAAGTCCAATCCAAACTGTTAAAAATCAATGTCTAGAGCCTCAAAAACTTCTGCGTGTACCATCTCACAATACATCTATCTTCTATACATCAACAATTTCTATCTCTTCTTCATCTTCTCTTTCGTTACTGTCCAAATTCTAAATGATTTGGAATCGTGGGTTTTCCCAATCACAGTTCAGCCACTCTTTGATATTCTTTTCATTGCACTCTTTACCAATACCAAAAATTTTCATTACTTCTGATATTTCTTAAAAATCGTCTAAATCGTATTTTTTTCGTCAAGAAATTCTTTCAATTGTTCTCTGAAAGAGTCGTTCTGTTAACTAAAATTAGAAATCAGAAAAAACTGTTCAGTGGTGACAACAGTTATTGTTGAGCCTATTCACACTAGAATAATTCTGCTACTAGAACAACTTGGTTTAAAGGAAAGGGACTTGATGGTATGAGGTAAAGTATCTCAAACGTTGTTCTAGTTTTAACTATGCATTAAAGTGGCAGCTCGGCTGCAGCGCGCAGCGTTCATACACTCATTTGCACGCCCCACACGAATAATGAAATCATTTACTCTTTCAGTGTGAAAGGGCTTATTTGCAATAATCGAAAAGTGATACAATTAACTTTTTACTGGTTTTTTTTTTAGCGCTGCGAACTGCTGAGAATTATAAAAAATTTGATTACATCTTGAAAAAATTAAAAAAAAGACAAGGGCACAGACATTCGCCATGTAACATCTTGATGTAGTGGTCACTTCAATTAAAATCCCATGCCTAACGCTTAGATGGCACTAATATCACTCTATTCATTGAATTTTTCCAGTTGGGATTAATCTTTAGAAGAAATTTCTGTTAATTTGTACAATAGTTATCCCAGAAAGACTTCTATTATTTAAATTTTGCACGTCTTCTTGATGAGCAAAAGTTTGCTTTGGAAGTAAAGCAATGGCTTGAAAGGTGTTATAAAATCTCTCTTAAAAAAAAATTTTTAACAAAACGTTGGGTGTAGAGACACCGAGGATGCAGTACGTAGTGGCTGGCCAAATGAGAAAATAACGTCAGAAAACAGCAACCAATCCACAAAATAGTTTTAAGTAATTAAAAATAAATTATCATAGCTATCATATTAGCTGATATCAAAGAGATATCAAAATTTGAAGGTGGGAAATCTTTGTTCTAAATCTTGGCACAAAAACCCGGATTTTTCACATATACATGTGACAACTAATTATGCTTAATCTAATATTTATCAAAAATCTTGAGAATGCAATCATTATTGTAGCATTGAAAGGCTGAAATTGCTGAAGAATTTTTGAAAATGGGATTTTTTCCAAATCGCAGACTGTAAAAAAAATATCAACAGTTAAAAATTGCGTTCTAACGAATAGGTAATCGCTGTTGTTATGCTTTTCCAAGAAAGAGATGGACCCTTAGTTTATTCTAAGCCGTCACCGAAATGCCTATGGGTTTTACGAGGTGTGACATTTAAGTAATGAGACTTATTATATTACCACGATTGTGATAACCCTGAGATAAAATTCCATTTCCCTTCTCCCGCTATCCTTCTCCTTTCCATTGATATATTTTTGCCATCGCTAGCTATCTTGTTTAGTTCGTGTTAAGTAAACGAAACAGCTTCGGAAGCGTACGCTAAAATTGTGAAAGTACATGCTGATAGTGCTCTTAGTCGGGCATAAAGAGTTTAAGGAGGGGTGTGAAAGCGTAAAAGACGAGGTCCGTAGCGGGAGACTAGTCGATGTGCGAGGAGCGGACTGACACGAATGCGCAGGTGTCCGCACTCTAATCCATAAATTGTGATCGTCTTTTAACAGTTCGAGTTTTGGTGCCGGAACTGGGTATGAACCGGGAAATAGTCAGTTGCGACAACGATTCAACATTTCGCGTCCAGAAATTGCTAGTAACTGGATCCTTCATCACGACAACGTGCCGTGCCACAGCTCCCTCAGCGTGTTCCAGTATTTGAAATGTAAAGGGATCGTGTGTTGCAACAACCGCCTTTTACGCCCGAGTTGTGGAATAATTTTAAAATATATGGTTTTTATGAAATCAGTCTCATTACTTAATTGTCACACTTCGTTTATGGAGCACTTTTTTATTTCATGTCAGAAATACACTACGAGAGCTTAAAATTTCCTGTCAAGTGACAAACCATTTAGAAAAATATATATTTTCACTATTCTCAAAAAATATATGGTCTGAGACAGCTCCATAAAACTAAAACCCAACATAACATTGACCTGAAAAAGCATCTATAAATTTCCTATGATTTTGGATATTGGTCAATACTGTATTCGAACCCTGGTCTTCCCGATGTAAGTACGCAATACTAACCTCTCAGCTCTTATGATCGCTATTGAAATCGTATCAGTGACATAGAAAACCCGGTCTTTGCAGGGCAGAAAGCACATGTGTTGTTATTAGAGAAATTCTTTCTTTTTCGAAGAGGTTGTGGAAAATTTTAAGCCTTTAGTATATTTTTTTAACTTGGATTTAAACAACTATTTCTCTTATCGTGCTGTAAGTGTGAGTAATTTTTTAATTTTCCTTAACATTTTTTTCTGATACAAAAATATATGATATAAAGATATAAAGTACGCCGGATAACAGGTAATAAAAATACTTATTTTTACAGAAGAAAGGAACTGTGGATCAGTTTTTCCGGCATGAAAGGCCGTTTCAGTTTTTTTTTTAATTTTCAATATAATAATTTTCGCACTTTCTACGCGCCTCCGATGTACAAGACAACTGAAATGTTTACAATAATGAAAACTAATTAACTTATGATGTTTACATAACCGTACATAAAATTATTTTCTTCTACTTTTCCCCACAGGTCTACTACTACATTGTCGATTCGCCACGCAATGAGGGAAAGGAGTTTTTCGAAATAAATTTGCAGAGTGGCGAAATCTTCACGAAAACCGTCTTCGATAGAGAGAAGAAAGGCGCCTATGCGCTGGAGGTGGAAGCACGTGATGGAGCGCCATCGGCGCGACCCAACAGCAACGGACAACCCAATTCAGGTTAGTAACAGCTTACTACGCCATACCTACATACATACATACACTATTTGCGCTTGGGCAGCAATTTACTGAAGCTAAAGCCGCGGGCGCGCGCACACACTTAACGCGACAATTATTCAGTTTTACAAATTGTGATTTACCAAATTGTACGCATAAAAAGTTGCAACAGTCGTCGTAGTACGCGCAGATGTACGCTGTTATCAGCATAACAACATCAACATCAACAGCAACGACTAACAGCTGCCGCAATTGCCGCCATGGATAAGTTTTACAAGAATAACAAAAATAATATTCGAGTAAAAGTTTCTTTATGAATTTTATTTTAGTAAAAGTTTTTCATATGCAAATGCAAGTGGCGTCATCATTTTTTATTTTACATTATTTAAAATCTTTTTTATTTCATTTTTTGGGCAAATAACATGCTGCATTTACAAGTTTTCGGTTTTGTACTACTTGTAGTTAGTGCGTGAGGAGCCAAAGGCAAAAAGAGAGGAGCACAGTTTGCATGCAAAATGATGGCTTGGCAAAAGTTCTCGTTTTGCATTCAATTCTGTTTTATTCTTTTTTTGCTGTTTGGACTTGTGATTCCTTATATCAGTGAAGTGTTTGAATAAGAAGTGCCAACAGCGTTGCGTTTAAAGTGGATTAAAATAATATTACTTAAAATATGACACTTTTTCGACACTTGTGCAACGCTTTTGAATTATTACTTTTGCCATAAATTGAAGTGAGTTAACGGTTGTTACACCCACACACATATACATGTATACAATGGATTTGGCATTGCAACAGCAAGCTTACCCTATTAACATAAATCAGGCTTTTTACGACACTTGTCTTCAAACTTGCCACATATGCTTATTAGGACATTCACTCGTATGTCTCATTGTGTGTATGTGTGTGCTTGTTTGCCATGTTACCTCAATCTATGAAGTGCTTACCTCTGCACATCGCCACTAAGCATTTGAATATTATTTCTTGCATCTGCATTCTACCTTCTCTCACTTACTCCTCACTAAAATCAGTTCGCCTCTATAGTTTCTGTTTTCGATGGGCGTTTTGCAAATTCGTTTACCTTTTGAGTGCAGCCAATTCTCGGTTTTGGCATTGAAATCAGTGCCCGCGCATTGCCAATATTTTTTTAACTTAACTCATCGTCAAAGCCGCTGTGACAGCAACGTGGAGCATGCATTAGCAGGCACATACATATGTACAGCTGTGCATAGAGATACATAAATATGTCTGAATATGCTGCCTGTGAGAAGCCAAACTAGTGTGCATGAATTTTAGTTACAGTTTGCTATATTAGTGTTCAAAAGAACTGGTATTTAACCAGTTTGAAACTAATGAATAATCAGAAAAAATAACAGAATTGTGAACCAATTCCAAATTAATATCAAATGGCAGTATATATAGTACGTGAATACTCTCCCTAAAATGGTTTCCATAAAAAAAGTACTTTTGATACTTCTTTTATCATTTATATATATAATATAAAATTTTATAAAGGTGGCAATCTTTTTAGGTTTTTTTCACTTTGAAAGTTTTACTATAATATTTCAGTCATTTCATGAATTCAAATGAATAAAAAATTTTGAACAGATGACAACTCCTAAAAAATCTGTTTGGTAGATATGGCAACTCTCAAGTGATATCTTTTATTAGTTAGCATATATGACGTCGCTGTCATTCCTCTTCCTTGCATCAATAATAATAACAGTTGTTTTTCTCTTTTGTTAATGTGATTAAATTAATTTTTAATTATTAACGGGTGGCAACTCTCCTGAAAATATTTTCCACAATAAGCTTTCGAAGCTTTCTATTGTTTTACATTAATAATGAAATAAATATTTAATTTGAAATTAATTTAATTTTTATATACAATTTTAGACAGGTGACAATTGTTGTACGATTTCTTAGCGGTTTTCTATTTTAAAGTCGGCCAAAATATTTTAATTTTACATTTTTTAAACAGTTGCCTAGCTTTAAAATAGATGGCAACTCACTTCTTTCCTTATATTAACTGTTGTTCTATTTCGTTTTTGTATTTATTAATCTAATAATTTTTTGTAAAAAAAAATAGCAACTCTTCAAATTTAAACTTTTGAATTCTTCAATGTTATATTTGTTTTTAGTACACTTCTTTTATTTACAATTGAATTTCACATAGTTGGCAACTCATATAATAATATTTTCGTATTTTAACTTATTTGATAACTTGAGTATGATATTTATGTAGTTATATTTTACTTTTTTTCGAAAGATGAGAAATAGTTGTCAGCTCTGCTAAAAAGTTTGTTCATCGTCAGGCCTCTTTCTTTGCTTTAGATTGGAAAAACTTCATCTATCATTTCACAAAAAAATTAGCTCATCTTTTTTGACCTTTTTATTTGTAAAATTTCACACTAGTGGCAACTCAACTGATTATAAATTTGCCATTTTTAAATACAAATCTCAGGTTTCTTGCGATTGGCAGCAAAAATATAAATATACACTGCAAATAACACCAATCTGGAGTACTCTCTCACAGAATAATCACTCAAATTGTCCCGCTATGTTATTCGTGTGCGCGAATTTGCTGTTTGCTGCTTGCTTATTGCTCTGACTGTTTAGTGCATTCCTGCGTGGTGGAATGGCATTTCGCCTGTCATACATATTCGCTTTTGGTACTTCTCTGCTGCTTCCGGCTGTCAATTTGTCAGCTTGTCGCTCTGTCTGTCTATTTGCATGTCTGTCGTATGTTTGTTACCGCTTTCTAAGGTATTTGCATTCGCATTTGCAATCCATGAACAATTTCGATACTTCATTTGTATGTATTATGCGAGGGGACAAGTATGCTCTGTGCATGCGTATATGTGTTTCCGCACTTAAATTTGTTGCTTTCGCGCATTACTCTTGCCAATCGTATATGCAAATTGCTAATGTCATTTCAATTCCATATTTGTCCACGTACCAACACAGCGTTAGTATCCACCAACTATGTCACCTCCTGCAATTCTTACTTCTTTTGATATTTACAATTTGTACGCTGCGTTGTATTTTTAGCAAACATTAACACAAGTGCACCGTTTGGTCGCTGGTACAAGCCGATATTCAATTGGGTTTTACAAATGTGGTGAGATATTTAATATAGAACGTGTATTAATTTGCAAGCGGACTATTAAAGACCCCTCTAAAACAATGTATTTTTACTGAGGACTGCGAGCTCGAACTCCTTTTGCATCCAACTTTTTTATATATATTTTGTTTTAAGTTTTTCTTACTTAATAAGAAAGAAATTCAAGCGAAAAAAATCCCGTGAAATTGAAATACTAAACCAATGGAAACTTTAAAAAAATCGATATTTTTCGGTTTGCTTTATATTGAAATAAAAATTTGCTTCGGCTGTTATTTGAAAAAGTCCTTTGATTACTTTTCAGTGATGCTCGACTAACTAACGAAACGATTTCATCTCAATATGTTTATTTTGAAATATAAACTCAGCAAATCATTTCGCTTTATTTCGGCGCCATGTCATCGAAACGAAATGGAAGTGTTAATCTTGTAACGCACAAGCTCATCGTTAACATTAATTGAATAAATAAAATGGCTGCTTGCAATGACTTTGACAGAACATTCAATTTTAACGTGTAATATTATCTGTTACTGCTCTGTTAGTGATTTAACATTAACAGAAGCATTTTGATTCGGCTTGATATGAATTATACTTTATTTTTTAAGATAGTATTTTTAAATGTTTCAACCAAATCAATTCAAAATTATTTGATTAACATGTAATTTATCGTTATAATGCAGCCTTGCTACAATTATATATATATAATAGGGAAACTATATTTCTATGTATTATATGTAAGTGTATATCCAAGAAGTTAAATATTTTTTCTCTAGAGAAGGTGAAACTACAATGAATGGTATGTGTTGAAATATTTTCTGAAAATATTCTAAAAAATTTCTTGAAAATGCATTAAAAAAATGTTCAGTCATTCTCTAGTTATTAACATTTATTATGTGGTTATATAATTCAACGATATTTTTAGAATATGTTAAATAGTTTCCTGTTAAGTCTTATCATCTCTTCCCACCTTCTTCCACTTTCTGCGTAAAAATGTTCCTCACTTATATCATTTGCAACATGGTTCAGGCAGTTTTTGGCGTGTTGTTTTGAGATGCAGGTTCTCTCATACAAACAAAGTTTTCGGGATATCGGAACAGGGATAGTCATTTAAGCCACAAAAGATTTTAGTGAGCCTTCAAATTTGTATTAAGTCTCGCAATATCTTGAAATGAACACATCTTCTATGTGTACATCATTCAATTTTCGCCTTGCTCGATCTGTATTTTAACCCTTTCGATAGTAAACCAGTAAAATGTGCCAATAACGCTGCCTTCATTATTTTATCTTCGATGGCACCCTATCGCCAAAAACAAATTCAAATATTTTAACAAAATATTTCACAAACAAATCTCCCTACATCGGCTGTTGAATTACTTAGTAAACGAACCAATATCAACTGATTTATTTGCATTTTAAAGCCAAATTTGAAATAACGAAATCAATAAATGTTTGAAGGGGACATTGATTGAGGTGGAGTGGGCCAGCAACTGCTAACTGCACTACTGGCTTCCAGTTCACATAATCGTTAGAAAACATAATGGTTAATGAAATAGCAAAAATCACCATCCATCTGGCATTTAATATTTCGAGGCACATGGAAGATGGATCAGAATTAGACAAAGAAATGAAGGCCAATTGGGCTTTCAAGACCTCCAAAATCATTTACCATAGCAGCGAAGGAAATAACATTAACTTTTTCGCACACAAAAGAACTGTAGCAAAATTTTCTGCTTGAGGATAAGCCAGAAACTGACTGCAAAAACGAGGAAAGTGGGAGTGACATTTGTAGGAAAGTAGAGTTGTAGTAGTAGTTTTTTTTAACTCGATCTTTGAATTCTTAATCAATTCCCATGGAATCCTCCTAGTTGATTCCCAACGGATACTG